TCCCCCCAAACCCAGAACCTCAAAGCTCCCCTCCCCAGCCCTGCCCCGGAGCCCACACTCTTGTTAAATCAACAATTTTCGACTGGCTCATGAGACAAAGGGTTTGAAAACCGCTGCCCTGGACTATTGGCTGACATTAGGAAGCAGCGAGAAGGCCTCCCTCAAACAGAGAGCTCCTAGCATAGATGTTGAACAAGGCAACCCCCCAAACCCAGAACCTCAAAGCTCCCCTCCCCAGCCCTGCCCCGGAGCCCACACTCTTGTTAAATCAACAATTTTCGACTGGCTCATGAGACAAAGGGTTTGAAAACCGCTGCCCTGGACTATTGGCTGACATTAGGAAGCAGCGAGAAGGCCTCCCTCAAACAGAGAGCTCCTAGCATAGATGTTGAACAAGGCAAGGCCATTCAGGTAGTAGACAGATGGTCCCTCCAGAGCTTTGTGGGGGGCCAGCAGAGATGCTGAATGGTCCCACCAGCCTGGGGCACCCCAGTCCATGGCCCTCCAGGTGGGACTTGTTTCGAGAAAGGCACATTAGAGCGACCTTCGGGAGGTGAAGGGACTCAGCCCGGCGGGCTGATAGATGGCCTGCCACCCTTTGGAGAGCCCAGTGAGAAGGAAAACGGAGCCGCTGAATCAGGCCAGGCCTTCCCGCGGGAAAAAGGGGTGAAGGAGAAGCTAAGACTCCTGCATGTTCCGACACCGGAAACGGTCTCTGTGCCTATTTCCCGGTCCTCGAATCACAGCCCCCTGCTCTTGGCCAGTGTGGAGACATTGAGTAACCCTGGGGCCGGGACCACTGATTTGGGGAAGAAGAAGGAGCAGCAGCAGAACGGGGGTGAGCTCAAACGTGTGACGTTTCAGAAAACGTGAATCAGGCAGCAGAATTCGCCAGGCCTTGGGAAAACGTGAGGGAGGGGCCATGTGTTCCTAGAAGGGGTGGAGCTTCAGGTGGAGGTGGTAGGAGTTTGGGCTAGCTTTTCTTAGCCCATCCATCAGAACCACCTGGCATGTGCCTTCTGGGGCTATCCGGTCCCTGGTTTCTCCCCTTCTTTACCCCCCATTTCTCCCTCTCCCCGTCACTGGGCCTATTCAGCAGCAAAGCCCTGGCTGGGATGATTGAGTTGGGTTGGTCCTGCTTTGGGCAGGGGGCTGGACTGGACGACTCCTGACGTCTCTTCCAGCCCTAGGATTCTATGAAATTCCAATCCAAAAGAGCTCCACTTCTCATACCCCGGTAGCCATGGGAACAAACAGGCAGAATCGGGACAACATGGTCCTTCCACCCCACTTCCCTGGTAGAGAGGTACAAGCAGATAGAAACTGGCAAAACCAACCGTCTGGCAAATTAGGAAAAGAGGAAGTGTCAGACACAAACTCTGTCATTGTGAGGGGAGCAGAGGAGGGGCATGAGGAGGCTGTCAGCCAAATATTATTTAAGGTCTGCAACGAATATTACTCAGAAGGAAAAAAGACAGGACGTGAAATACTTCCATTTGCATCTGCGCTGCATGTCCCATGAACTGCAGGGAACAACACAACTTTCTGTGAGTACATTCAAGGAAACAATCATAGCTACAAATGCCTGTTGGAAGAGCAGCTAGCCGAAAACTCAGAAAGTAATAGTAAAATGTTTAAGTACATCAGAAGCCAAACAACCAGTGGGGCACTTGGACGATTGAGATGCTAAAGCAGCACTTAGAGATGATAAAGTCATTGCGAAGAAGCTAAATGAATTATTGCATCAGTCTTAATGGCTAAGCATATTGGGGTGATTCCCAAACCTGAACAAATTCTTGATAGGTGCCAAATCTGAGGAATTGTCCCAGATTGAGGTGTCATTAGCAGAGGTGTTGGAACAAATTTTTAAACTTAACAGCTTCAAGTCTTTGAGACTAGATTAACCCAAGAGTTTTGAAAGAACTCCACTGGGAAATTGAGAAACTATTAACTGTGGTTTGTAACTGATCCTTTAAATCAGCTTCCATACCTAAGGACTGGAAGATAGCTAATGTGATGCCAATATTTAAAAAAAGGCTCTGGAGGTGATCCTGGCAATTACAGGCCAGTAAATCTGAAGTCAGAGCCAGGCAAATTCTTTGAAACTATAATAAAGAATAAAATTGTCAGACACATAGATAAATCTAATTTGTTGCGGGAAAATCAATGTGGTTTCTGCACAGTTCATCTGATAGAGATCATTGAGGGGGTCAACAGACATGTGGATAATGGGGATCCATTGGGGGGGCCATGTAGATTTGTTGGTTCGGCAAAGGGAAATGAAGCCGCGATTTAAATAATCTCTGCTTCATTTAAATTTAAATGGCTGCCCCGCTCTGCCGATCAGCTGTTTGTCGGCAGAGCGGGGGGGCCGACATCAAAGCCCTTTATCGACCTCCCCAGTAAACCTCATCCTACGAGGCATAACGGGGAGGTCGATAAAGGGCTTTCAGGTCAGCGTGGGAGCGTCCAGACTAGTGCACTGAGCTGACAAACAGCTGATCAGGTGTTTGTCGGCTCAGCACGGCAGCCATGTAAATTTAAATGAAGCCACGATTATTTAAATCGCGGCTTCATTTCCCTTTGCCGATCAGCCTATTCTACATGGCTCCATCAATGGAGCCATGTAGTTTAGACACACCCCCACTATCCCGCTTTACCATCTGGCCTTTCCTCTCTTTTGAGGCCGTTTTTAAATTTCACGTGTACTTTAATATTTCAAAAGAACTCTTTTCTTTACCTTCCCTCATATGTGTCCGAGTCAGAACTACAACAATGGCTGCCCGTCGCAGGGAGCCATAGCCTGTAATACCGCTAAGGCTGGTATAGGGGGCTCTGTCTGTGAGGTGGAGTGTTTTCCATATAAGGGCATGCAAATTAATAATCTTCCCCTGCTCGCTCCACCCATTGCAGTGAAAGATCAGCCAATGGGCTGACTTGTGCTCAGGCCTGCTACTCCACCCACTGCAGCAAAAACCAACCTATGGGGTGATAAGTTCACAGGCAATAAAACAGGCAGGCAGCCCCTCTCTCACTGGGGATTCGCATCGAGTGAACGCCTGGCCTGATCACCCAGACGCCAGTCTTACTGAGTGTACTGGTTGACCCGAGTGGAGATAGTTTATGAGCATGTGACAGGTACTTGTGTTCCTGCTGTCTCCAGAACTGGTATAACCCCCTCCCCCTGCCATCATCCCTATACTAATTGATTTTTAGTTGTCCTTATTGCTTGTCAAGTGACAGTGGTCTAGATTGGCCACGGACGCTTTTCTGCAAAAAGTGCTTTTGCGGAAAAGCATCCTGCCAATCTAGACACAATTTTTCTGAAAATGCTTTTAACAGAAAAGTTTTCCGTTAAAAGCATTTTCGGAAAATCATGCCAGTGTAGACGTAGCCTAGGTGTACGTCTAGACTACGGGTTTTTCTTGACAGAAGTTTTGCCGACAGATACTGTCAACAAAGCCTCTGTCGACAAAGAGCATCTACACTACATCCAGTTCTGTCGACAAAGCCAGTCACTTTATCGACATGACAGTGTAGACGCAAAGGACAGTATAGATGCAATAACGCCTTCTGTCAACTGAGGTCTGTCGACAAAAGGCATTATTCCTTGTAGAATGAGGTAAACAGCCATCGACAAAACTGCTGAGTTCTGTCGTCGTTATGTCAACAGAACTCAGCGGCAGTGTAGACATAGGTATAGTTAGGTGACACAAGATACATATGGCCATGCCATGCAGCCTGAGAAAGCTTCTCTGACAGAAGACCTGAGAGGAATACGTTTGCGTATGAGTGCTGAAGGGTTGTGTTGGAGCCTCAAAATCTCTGAGGAGTGAATCCAAATGAGGAAGTCTGTATAAGGAACACTGGTGGATTTATTGCCCGATAACTTTTGCTTAAGAGTTACTCGTAGTATTGCAAATACTAGTGACAACGCTATACATCATTTATCATGCTTTCTGAGTGCGTGCAATGATGGTTTTACTAAGAAACCGAATTGTTCTCTCTCTTTAAAACCACTCTTCTGAAGGCAAACATTTCCGGACTCCAGGGAACAAACTCTGCCATCCTCCTTTGGTTCAATCCTCCCTTTAGGCGGCACTCCTCTCCCTGGCTCCACAAGGTTCTTCCTGGCACCATTATAGAGCACAGGCACAGAAGGCTTTTCGCTGTGGAAATCTCTGATCATTTTAGTTGCCCTCCCCTCTCCCAGCCTCTCTCTTCCCCTCTCCCACCTCCTTTTCCCAGTCTCCCTGAGTTTTGTTCAATAAAGAGAGATTCTATTTTTGACCACACGTTTTCTTTATTTTGTACATCAGGAAGGGGGGTTAGGGAAGGGTAAGTGGAAGGAGGTGAGGGAGGAATGGGGTACGTGCCCCTGATGGGGAGGACTGGGCTGGCTCTGCGGGCTTCTGGGGGTGGAAGCTCTCCTGCAGCCCCCCAATTGCCCTCTCTCCCCAGATGCCAGCCTGTGGCAAGTGCATCCAGGCTGATGGCCGAGTGCTGTGATGTGCCGAGTGTGGGCATTCAGGGCACTCCAAGCCAGGACTGCTTTGCAAGCGGGGCACCCCTGAGAACTGTGTGTCCGGGGTGGGGGTTGGGACCCTTTAAGCACAGCCCTCGGCTAGCCTGGGACAGCATCTCTACGCTCTAAGTCCTCCTCCGATGCCCTGCTGGCACTGCTTCCGGCCATCCTTAATGCAGTGGGTGGAGATGTTCAGGGTCCATTTAATGTGGACATGCTAGTTCGAATTAGCAAAACGCTAATTCGAACTAGTTTTTTAGTCTAGATCCGTTAGTTCGAATTAGCTTAGTTCGAATTAACTAATTCGAACTAAGTTAGTTCGAATTAACATTGTAGTGTAGACATACCCTAAGTTAGTTTATAAATAGTTGTGGTTTAGGTTTTTTACTGTTTCCTTGTATAAAGTTGTGTAAATAATCAGCCCTATGAACAATACCAGTGTTAATTCAACTGTTCCTAACCCCTGGGCAGTTATTGGGAATTATTGTGATTTAGAAAAGCCTCAGGGAATTGTTTTGTGTTGTCTGGCAATCTGTTTAATTTTTGTTCTGATGATTGTCTGGTGTCATCAAAATAAAATCAGTTTGTGCTTTTTGAAACCCCCAGTTGTTGTCTCATCCTTTCCGGCATCCCTTCGAACCTCGTGTATTACGGGGACTGACAATATGGACTAGTGAAAATTTTCGACGTGTTTCTCTCTTAACCTGTTTTGACACAAGACTCCCCTATGAAGTTTTCTATCATGTGTTTTCTAAACAATCTCCACTTCATAAAATATTTTAAATGTCCCTTTCTTCTTCCCTTTATATTTGGAAAGTGGAACCTCTAAACTATCCAAGCTCCATGTTAGTTTGTTTTCTTTGACATTTCAAGCTTGAGGTTCAGTAGGATACGGGCTCCTACCTACTTTATTTGCCTTTTCAATTCCCGCTCAATATCCCTATGTTGCTATATTCAGCGTTCCTTTTCTTTGAAATAGTTACAGAAAGAAGAAAACCCATCTAGACGCTCCTTAAAGAGCCCGTTTACCGCTGCAGGAAGAATTCCATCTCCCCACGAGCTCTGCAGGGAAACCTGGAAGAAGCGGTGAAAATGTCTGAATCAAGGACGGTAAATTATTTGTCTGACGAGAAATGTGTTGTGTTCAGCCCAGAGTCGCTTTCTTTCCATTTGACCAAACTTTTTACCATGTTTGGATTGGGTTCAACTCAAACTGGTCCCATCTCCCCTTCTCCCCCCAGTTTCTCAGAACGTCCAGTGAATGGAAAAATCGATCCTTTGCCCAGCTCTGCCTGGGATCTTGGCTGAAGTCTCGGGGCGGGGGTAGCTCAGCAGTTTGAGCATTTGCCTGCTAAACCCAGGGTTGTGAGTTCAATCCTTCTGGAGGCCATTTTGGGCAAAAATTTGTCAGGGATGGTACTTGGCCCTGCTGTGAAGGCAGGGGACTGGACTCAGTAACCTTTCAAGATCCCTTCCAGTTGTAGGAGATAGACAATCTCCATTAATTTATAAACTAAATAAATTTAATTTATGATGAGAGTATTAAGAGGGAATTTGTGTGGAACCTGTGCTAGCTGCAGCCATCCCCCGGATCTCCACTTCCTGGCAGCCTTTCAAGAGGTCAGTTGAGGGATTTTTTTGGCTTTTTATTTTTGGCAGGATGAAACTATCCGGCTCTCCCAGGAGCTCTCAGCGGGAGAGAAGGAAGCCACTGGGACCAGAAAGGGGAAAGTCCTGAAGTGTCTCCAGAGCCAAGGAGTTGCCTGTGATGAGGTAGGCCTCCGTCATGCCCTCCAGCGCTAAGGAGAACGCTCTAGCCCCTCAGGCAGGGGTGCGGTGATTGAGGTGCCTGGCCCAGTGGGCAGAAATCCCTCAAAAATCAGGCCCCAGGGAGGTGCTCCCTGTCTACCATGACACTCCCAAACAGCAGGGGGGCAGCTCAGGGCCACAGACAGAAATCACTTCCATCCTTTGGTTGGGCTCAAACTTGGGGCCTTCAGTGCTAGAGGCACAAGCCCTGACAGATGCTGCTAAAGGAGTAACATGCTTAGAAGTGCCGGATGGGGCTTTCGGGGGAGACAACAGCCTCTGCAGGGCCCTCGGTGAGCTGGGAGGGGGAGGGGCTGGCTCTGACCCCTCAGAAGGGGTGCAGCTTCGGGCTGAAGGGGCAGGTACAACCAGCACTCAGGACCTCCCAGAATGCATTGTTCCACCCAGAGTGCTGTTCACCCCCCCCTCTGCAGCTTTCAGCAGCTCCATCTCTCCAGGCAACCCTAAGAGCCTCCCAGAGCACTGTGTTCAGGGCTCCGGTGGTGCTTTAAAGGTCCCAAGGCTCCGGCCACCCTGCTGCCTCAGTATCAGTGGCAGCAGCCAGGAACACTGGGTCCCTTGGAATCGCCAGGCCCCAGGGAAATTTCCCCCTTTGCCCCACAGGCCTGACCTCTAGAGGGCTCCAAGTGCACGTGAATCCAGTCAGTGCTCGTTAGAGACTCCCTGCCCTCTGATTGTGAAGCTAGACCATGCCTGCAGCAGAGGGCAGATGGAAAGGGGCCATTAGAGCCATCATGGGGGAGCATAGAGGGAGAGAGATTTGGGTTGAGTGCGCTATTGATCCTTGACTGGCAGATTGCTAGAATCATTAATGAATGGGGGCTATGTAACTTCCTTCCTGCATGCATCACAGCGCCCTCTGCTGGTTGAACTGCACAGTGGATAAAGCCAACTACTGCTGCCTACCTGCTGTGGTGATTCTTTTACTGGCATGGTGGAAATGTGGAGAACCCACCAAGAGAGTTACCTAGCATTAAAAAGCAGTGGTCCTGGAGGGAGGGGAGCTCAACACAGCTGACATACCTGAGGGACGTCTCCTCTCTTTGGGCCTTGCAGATCCAGCTTAAGAAACTTTCACTGCTTCCTCCTCACAGCCGTCTTCTCAGGGGAGAGTGACATGGATTTATTTTGGTGCTCAAGAGTCAGTCTCTCTAGTTCTCACTGACCCTGTTGGTGCATTAGTGCCACAACAGGCTGGCTGTTTGCATTCAAAACTGCTTGGATGAAAAGCTGCTAATTTGTGAAAAAAATGTCCATGACGGACAAAAAATTAAAGTTTCAACCTTAACATTTTGAAATTGAGGGGGTAGGCAGGCAATGGAGGGGTCTTTGTGGGGGCTTTGGAGATGTCCACCCCCACATTTTTTGATGAATGGGTTGGTTCCTCCAAGAAAGAAAGAGCCAAATTTTAAAGGGATAAAAATCATTTCCTGAACAGCTGCCCTTCCTACACTTTTAGGGCATAGAGACGCGTCCTTCTTCATGACACATTTGTTCCAAACAAACTGACAGACTCCCGTAAATCATGGGGACCAAGGGTCATAGACATGGTGGACAGTAAAAAGCTCTAGTAAATCTGAGCCAGATTCCAAGTCCAATGGAAACCAAAGGGAATTAGGAACCTGCATTGCTTAGGTGGTTTTCAAGTGCCCTCTAGGACCTCACATGCATCCCTTTCTCGAACGGGTCTGTAACCAGAGCTGAATATCAGAGAGGCCTCAGCATTCTTCCTTCATTTGTCGTTTTCTCTTCCCCTTTCCCAGAAGACCATGCCCAATATCGCCGTGCTAGGATCGGGTGGGGGTCTGCGGGCCATGATCGCCCTTCTGGGAACTTTGGTGGAGATGAAGAAACAGCGCCTGCTGGATGCTGCCATGTACCTGTGCGGGGTGTCAGGTTCCACCTGGTAGGTGCACGTCTGTAAAAGGGAGAATGAGGCGCTGCAGAAGGGAGAATGAGGCACTTTTGCTGAAGAGTTGGAACATTCTTATGAAGATTCAGCCCTGAACATTTTCCATGCATTGAAAGAGAAATTTTTAGGAGCAGCTAGGGGTGTGTCTGCATCACACTCAGGGAACATGGGGTAATGCATCCAATTCCGGCCACCCCCTTACAGAAAGGATGTGGTGAGGCCACATCTGGAGTATTGTGTTGAGTTCTGAGTTCCTCATCGCAAAAAGGATGTGGGCACATTGGAGTGGGTCCAACGGAGGACAGCAGAAATGATTCTGGGACTGGAGCACATGACCTATGAGGAGAGGCTGAAGGATCTGGGCTTGTTTAGTCTGCAGAAGAGAAGAGTGAGGGGGGATTTGAGAGCAGCCTGCAACTTTGAGAAGGGGAGCTCCAAAGAGGATGGAGAGAGGCTGTTCTTGGTGAGAACAAAGGGCAGAACGAGGAGCAATGGTCTGAAGTTGCAATGGGGGAGGTTAGGTTGGATATTAGGAAAAACTATTTCCTGAGAGGAGTGGGGAAGCACTGGGATGGGTTCCCTAGGGAGGGGGTGGAATCTCCATCCCTAGAGGTGTTTAAATCCCATCTTGGCCAAGCCCTGGCTGGGATGATTGAGTGGGGTTGGTCCTGCTTTGGGCAGGGGGCAGGACTCGATGACTCCCGAGGTCTCTGTCCGCCCTGGGATTCTGTGATTCTATGATACTCCATCTGAGCAAGCTTTACCCTTAGTAGCTTGGTCATCAACAGCAGCAATCATTTTGGTTGCCCTTCACTGGACCCTCTCCAACGCCTCCACATCCTTTCTGTAGTGGGGGCCCCAGAACTGGACACAATACTCCAGATGTGGCCGAATCTGGAGCTGAATAAAAGGGAATAATCACTTCTCTAGATCTGCTGACAATGCTCCTCCTAATGGAGCCCAATCTGCCATTAGCCTTCTTGGCTGCAAGGGCACCTTGTTGACTCATCCTCAGCTTCTCATCCACTGTAACCCCCAGGTCCTTTTTCTGTCAAACTGCTGCTTAGTCAGTCGGTCCCCAGCCTGTAGCAATACTTGGGATTCTTCCGTCCCAAGGGCAGGACTCTGCACATGTCCTTGTTGAAGCTCATCAGATTTCTTTCGGCCCAACCTTCCAATGTGTCTAGGTCACTTTGATCCCTATCCTCCAGCCTATTTACCTCTCCCCCTAGCCTTGGCTTTCAGCAGAGGAG